TTGGTCAAGCAATAAAGGCAGATGTCTATTGTGCCGAACTCCGAACCATGTTGACAAAACTAGCAGTAAAACAGCCCCGACTCATGAATCGATCTTCACCATTATTGCTCCACGACAACGCGAGACCTCACACAGCACGAGAAACCATTTTGACCCTTCAGGAACTGCAGTTAGAAACCATTCGTCATCCTCCGTATTCACCAGACCTTGCTCCAACGGACTACCATTTTTTTCGTGATTTGGACAATTATCTACGTGACAAGAAGTTTTCTTCCCAGGAGGCAGTACAAAATGCTTTCACACAGTTTGTGCAGTCTAGATCGTCGGAGTTCTATCGCAAAGGCATTAATAACCTTCCCATTAGATGGCAGCAATGTATAGATAATAATGGCAACTATTTTGATTAAATAAATTTGTTAAAAATTTAAAAAATAAACAATTTAGATTTTCAGTACAAATCGGCAATTTCATACTTTAACCCCTATTATTTATTATTTTATAATATCAGGTGACAGGACGGACAAGTCGTGCGCCTTATGGTAAGCTACATGCCAGTCCATAACAGTTGCAGTGCCACTCAGAGCTTTAAATCGCATAGATTTGAGGGGCACAGCCACTGTGCCCGTCACTGTGAGACATAAGTTGACAAGTCCCATGTGTCTGTAATTTCTAAAAAAAGACTATGAAAGTGTTTACGAGTCGTACTGTATGATGGTGTTCATGCGGGAATTAGGGGAAGATAGAGACACAAAGTTGGAGACCTCTGCCCTTGGGAGTTAGAGGCAAAGGACAGTGATGATGATTTATTTCAAGATTTTTTATGTTTCTTGGACCATTTTTGTACAATAAATTAAACGCCAAATATTCCATTTATAATTTCTGTTGCTTTAAGGTAAAGAAAATTCTCTAAGAAGCTCTTCAAAATATGTCCTATGAGGATACAGAGAATTTATTTATTATCGTAAAATAAATGTTGTCTTGTTTAAGTGTACTTTTTTTTTATTGGCAATTTATTGTTTAATTTTATTTCATAAGATTCTCCTAAAAAGTATTTATAATATTAATAGTATCCACCTTTATAATTAGTAGTACTTTTTACCTGAAATACAGGAATTTCCTAGTTCAGGTACATGTGTTATTTGTACAATAAATCGCATAAATAGTCTTTAGTTTTCTCTGTACATTATGTTACTGAATAAACAATTTTTTTTATTTTATTTTATTATTATTTATTATGCAGGACTGGAAGGCACTAGGTACAGCAGCAAGTTGTAATCGAAGGTTGAGTTCTACATCATCGGTATCCGTTACCGTTCGGGACCGTTGTGTCTCCATTCTCGGGGAGGGGCCGGGCTGGGTGTTGTGAAGTCAGAGTTCAGACCAGTCTCACATAGCCCCGACTCTGCCTCCGCAGGGTCGCGGTATCTGTAAGCAGATTCCCTCATCCGTTGCTCCTATGGTGCGTCACACGCATGCAGCTACTCCACATTCGCACGGTGTAGGGAGACCGTAAAGTTGAAGGATAGGTTTGGCGTGAGGAAGTTGAAGAACTTGATATTGGGCAGGAGCATACGCGCGGCATTTATTATTTATAGGTTTTATAGAAAAGTAGTACATAATATCCAATTAAAAAATATATATTTAAAAGTTTCACTCATGTAAGTTGATTTTACTTTTAGAGTCTATCAAGATAAAAAAAATCGTTTAAGAATTTAGTATCAGTACCTAGAATGTATTTCCATTTAAAACCAATTAAACTATTTATTTCCACACACATTAATTACAAAAATACAGTAAATAATTTATTTAAAACTATCGAGTTCTAAGGTTTTCGCGATTGTTACACATAGGAAATAAAACTATGTATTTTTCCGGATTTAAATCGCGTATTTGTTTTTTCAAACAAACCGACGTTTCGGGTCCTTTACAGGTCCCATGGTCACGGTTGACTGAGGTGGTACAGTCTTCAACCAGTTATGTCTAATATTAATGCAAACCACCCTATTTTTTCACTATAGTTACATTTTATTTATTCTTCTTTTATTTATTTTGCAAATGGTCCCACGATGCCGGCTTGGTTATTAACGCCGACAAAACTAAATGGCTTCATATACACTCCAGCCACAATAACGCGGTGACTAACCAAATGATTGCACATGATCATCAGTGCTTGCATGACAATCCACCGGCTTGTAGTTGCAAATCCATAGAACAGGTAGCTCACCACACTTATCTTGGTATGACTATCGATAACCGCTTTAATTGGGGTCCTCACTTTGATTATATTTGCACAAAATTAAGAGCAATAATGCCTAAACTGTACCTATTAAAGAGAAAAGTGCCATTCACCGTAAGATTGCAACTATATAAAGCATTAGCTGAGAGTATTATATGTTACGGTCTAAGCAGCTATGGGCGTACATTTAAAACGTATATAATCGGATTTATAGTCTTCAACTCAGAATCCTCAAACAACTTGTACCTTTTAAAATTAAAGAAAAATTCAAAGATGATGATATAAAAATTTTTAATTTTTGCAAAGTACTACCAGTACAAGAAAGAATCAATATGCTTTTATTAACGGAAAACTTTTTTAATTTTAATCAAAATTATAAAGATTTCGGTAAAGAGACTCGTCAGGTCACTCAAGAGGCTGTCATGACTATAGGAGCTCGTAATTTTTATGGAGAGCGTACAACCGATTACCTGGTTCCTAGATTGTTAAATAAGTTACCACTGCATCTTAAAAAACAAGTGAACCCAAAAAATATAAAGTATACTCTAAAAAAATATTTCTTTTCCTAATCTTATGTATCACCAGTTAGAAATTAAAAATTAAAATTATAGTCAAATAATATACAAATATATATACTAGTAGGAATATACACAAAATTAATTAAATAAAAATAAAACGCATTTAATAAAATAAAAAAATAATAAATAAAAAATAAATTAACGTTGGTATTATTCTAATTAAGCAGGCTGTATGTTCGTTGGCGTTGGAAGCGGGACCGGTTTTCTGCGTTGTTGGCGATTCAAGCTCGATGGCGAGAATTATTTTTTAGTGAATAAGATTTTTGTTATTTATATGTCCTTCGTGTCTATTTTATTATTAATTCGTGTTTTATAAGATTAGTTTGTTTAAGAGAAGTTGCAACACTCAGACAAACCTATGTAGGTTTAAGAGTGTGAAGACTAAATGGTTTTGTCTTTGAAAATAAAAATTAAATCAATCAATCAATCAATCATGTTATTTGAAACCATTTATTAAAAAGGGACTCAAACTGAAAACCAGCGCTACAGCAGTCGAATGCTGAGTTGGAGTGAGTATGTTTTAGCTTATATTTATAATTTTAATATTCAATTTCTTCTGAATAAGTGTTAATAAGCTGAGTAAACGTGTTTCTTTCTTTCTTTATTCCCAGAGTTCCATGTACTCGGTACCACGTGCAACTATTGCATACCAAAAGTTCGACACATAGAACTAGCGGGAATAAATTTAATGTTTTCATCTTTATTCTCTTAAGTTTCATACATAGAATAACGCGGTCCCTTTGTAGGGGATCTTTTTTTTCACAAGACTACTTAAAAATATAATAAAAGATTAAATTATTTGTATGTGAGGGACAGTTTCAGAATTCACTGAGCGGCAGAAGTCTGAGTTCTGGTTTTCTGCCTGCCCCTGACGCGGTCACAATAAGTAGTAACATTTTTATATAAACATTTTATGCGGTCATCACATGATGGAGCTAGGTTGGCCCGAGGAGAAGGGCGTACCGTGCGGGCTCGACTCGCGGACACTGTCCTTCGCGGCCGAATTTTGCCTTTTCCATTTAGTGGGCGCTCCAAACGACTCTCTTCGGAGAGTCCACGCGGATGCGCGTAGGGTGTTTCGGCGCGTCATAGCCCCTGGGTAGCGGACTCGGGGGAGATCATTGCTGGAGGGAAGACTCGACTGGTGTTCGGCGAGCCGTACATTTGGAGTCCGGGGACCGTTGTCTCTCCCTTCTCGGGGAGGGGCCGGGCTGGGTGTTGTGAAGTCAGAGTTCAGGCCAGTCCCACATAGCCCCGACTCTGCCTCCGCAGGGTCGCGGTATCTGTAAGCAGATTCCCTCGGGAAATAAAACAAAAAAACGTACACTGTACTAGTCTCGTTTAACAGATCCCGCAGTAGTGACATACGTAACTTTTTGGCTGAAAGGTCCTTAGAAGCTTTTAGAATACATAACCGCCTCATTAGTGACCTTTTGAATAAGTACCAAGAACACACGCAAGTTTATGTTTAACATATATGTATTGTTATTTGATTTCTGTATAATGCCGTTATATAGGGAGCTTCAGTTGAATACATCTACTATTGTTATTTGATTCTTTTACCATGCCAAAATATGGTGATCTTCAATGAAATATATTTATTGTTATTATTTTCAAAATATACACCTGAATTAATTTAAATTTTGCTCCGCACTTTAAAATTTCTGTAGCAGTAGAGCTCCTTACGAAAGAGTTCGTCCAGGGAAGTACTGCCACCTTATCTATTTCTGTCGCCAAGCAGTAATGTGAGCATTACTGCATTTCAGTTTTGAAGGGTAAGGGTGCTGTTGAAATTTCCTGTACATGGGACTTGCCAACTTATGTCTCAGGGTGACGGGCGCAGTGGAGGTGCCCTTCAGAACTTTGCGATTTAAAGCTCCGAGTGACACTGCAACTGTTACGGACAGGCGTGTAGCTTACCATCAGGCGCATGACTTGTTCGTCCCGTCACTTGACATTATAAAAAAATGTGCTTATGGAAATATAAGAAACTTGGGAAAAGATGGGATTCAAAAAAATATTGCAATGTTAGTTCAAATGTAGTTAAGAAAGTTCTACAACTACACAAAACGTTTTATGGTTTAATCCACTTATAATATTATGTCATAAGTATTCTGTATGTAGCTTTAAAAATCATATACCAAGCGTTGGTGGGCATCCTTCACCACCCTCATTTGAGTTCTGTACTCGCCGCCGGTCACTTGTGTCGTTACTGTACATTGTACTTATATTCTCGACATTTCTATAGAAGTGCTTATGTTGTGGCTTGATTTCTCGAGCACATTTCATAAAGTTTTGAAAATATTTTGTGGTTTTTAGGTGAGTATCAACTTTTCAATACCATAATAGTACCGTAATGTGCGATGAGAATGATCGTCAGGTTGCATATTAAAAAATAATTGTGTGGGCTACAAAACATTAAATTACATAAATAATAAATAAAAAAATATAAATATATATAAACTAGTACGTGAGGTATATATAACTTATACGCATACATACACATAATACATAAAAGTACTATTATCATATTTATTAAATATTCTAACTATTTTGACGTGCCAACTTGTCGTGTCGTACGCTCCCGGAAATAGTGCAATAGAACGGCGCACACAAAAACTGGTCGCTGTTGTTTAAATTATCTATAGCTTCAATTATCTAGTTTTTTCGGTCGCGTTTCGGCGTAACAGTACTTGTGTTCTTTTGTGCAATTCGCTTTATATAGCTGTGTATATAGCCGCTGGCTTAAGACGGTAATTTCCGTAAATAAACCTTTCGAGTGAGTTCGTGTGTTGGTTATTCTTAACAGTGCAAAACAACATTCACAACCCCAAAATTGTATACATATACTATATTTATATATGATTTTAAATGTTCTAATTTCACAGGCAAGCAAATTACAGTTTAAAATGTTAAATGATTAATCACTTCTTAGTACAATCGTAAGACAGATTCCCTTGAAAATGAAAGGAATATGGGTGAAATTTTGAGGTTGGTTTTTGTAAGTCGATATTTGTTCATATTTGTCAATAACATTATTTATATAATCAAATATTTTGTATGTCCGTAAAAATGTACTTTCATTAAGAAATAAGACATCCATAATATTAAACTTTAGAATTAAGTTCAAATTCATGGTGTCACAATTTCGTTTAACTAAGGTAAACGATTATTTTATGGGGAGCTGTATACGTTTTTACAATATGATTCCGGTGCGTATTATTAAGATTATCATTTTCTAAGTTTAAGTATTTACATGAAAAGTCATATTACAAAATTGAAGACTACGTGTTAGATAAAGACGTATGGAGAGACGACTTGGCTCGACATTCCACACAATTTGACTCAAACTGTGTTTCTATTGCATTTAAATTTATTTGAAAAGATCAATCCCTAGAACTTCTTACAACGTTCTTCTCAGGGAAGTCTGCTGACTTACAGTGAATGAACAGTAGCTTAAAAAACTAAGTTTTTAAGTGTAAACTTGTTTTACTTGAGGAATAAACGATTTTTTCATTTGATTTTATATTTATTTATAAGTACTGTAGTTAGAAAAGCCTGAAAAAACTAAGCGAATTTCTCCAATAGATTTCGCACCCTGATCTTGGTATAAAAATTTGTTTCACAGCAGTTTTGAGCCTAGTAAATAGCAAATTTGAATATCTACCGGAATCGTATTGTAAAAGTTTATATCTTACAATTTGTGATTTTGTGAAGACGACTGGCAGGCAGTTTATTTTTGTTTCTCCAATCAATATTGTCCATCAACGCTTTTAATGAAAAAAATACTATACTTCACATAAATTACACTTTCTTGAATCATCTATGACGCAGTGGTAGAATGTTCAAAAGCATATTCAAAATTAATTATTATGTTTAGTACAAGACAGTCAAAAAACATTATGGCAAATCTGTATAATAGACTTAAAGTTATCTACCATAACCGCAATAAGACGTAGAGAATATCTCAGTAATACTTAGTCAAGAGATACGCAACCAGGATTTGCGGTTTCCCTGTATGGTTACACGAATCAAATATTACGTAGTTGTATCAAATAATTATTTGTAACTTTTCAGTCACAGGAAATATTTTTGTTAGTTTTATTACAATTTAATAGAGTTTTGCAATTGACAATTTTTGTTTTAAATCGTTAATATGAATCTTTAAAATAAGGACAAAATACGATGTAATAAAACGGTGTGTTTATTGCGTATTTATGCAAGGTAATAAAAGAAAGAAATTTACTATCTCAAAGCGAAGTGGCAGGTGCAAAACAAAATCTACTAACGGTTTATTGTTGCTACTTCGGTTGGTGAATTCAGTAATTTTAAAATTATTTCTCATTAGAACCAACCGCAGTTTAGGTAATTAATTAACAGTCATTTGCTGACAAACGAGGCGGTCGAATTAAGGAACTCGCGAAATAACCAATAAAGCACTATGTCAGAAAAAATTCCTGTGAAATAAACAGCATTTCTCTTGCTGTCTAGGAGACGAATTAAAGTTTTCCTTGTTCAATATGCATTTACGTAAAGGTTCTGTGATGTCTAAGTGAACAGTAGGTAATCATTCACTATAATAAGTTGTCTCTAATTTTTAGTACAATAAACTCAAAATATGTCTTCATACGACCAATTGTACCCGAACTGCGATCCCGACGTGTGGCTGCGATCCTGCGAGCTGGAGGTCGAGAAACCAATCGAGGGAGAGATTACAGGTAACAAAGTCATATTACATACCATTGCTATTAAAGGGCTTATTGGTTCAAGGGAATAAATGTGATGAGATGTAGAGCGCAAGCGCAGAGTTCTGGTGGTGAGCTGCAACATAAGGGCACAGCGCGATGAGCTCGATTGAAGTTTAAACAATTTTAATCAGGGGTTATATATCAGTACTCCGAAATGTCATTTTCCAGAAATAACGTTTGGTCGAAATTTCATAACCTCGAAAGTAGTTTTGAGAGGAAAATGTTTTTTCTTTTAAACCTAACCTAACCGAACCTAATCGTGTCTTTGCGATAAACAGCCAACACAGCCCGAAAGAACAACGGTTCGTTATAATTCGGTTTTCGGTATAATGAAAATTGGAACAAACGTTATATCGGATTTGTGGTTGGTTACCTGATCAAGGGATTTTAAAATAAGTTTTCAAAATGTTATCGGATGTCATATTCCATGATTCAAGAACTTCTTATGATTGTAATGGTAGGTATGATGTAACACCTAAATAAAACACCTCCGCGTATAAACCTTAGTTTTTATTTTTATTATCTTCGGGTTTTTCAATAATAACCTATAATTTATGCGACTGTATCGACACAATCACTAAAAGCTGCTAAAAGCTCTTTAACACGTTCCATTTAGGTGTTTTTTTTGTAATCCGAAAATAATAGTCATATGTTATATCAGATTAGCCTGAAGATATTGTAGGGTAGATATTTATTTACGAGGTAAATATTATTTTCTAGGTGAAATGCCTTCTTGGCTACGAGGTACCTTGCTACGCAACGGACCCGGTTCCCTCAAAGTTGGCTCTACGCGGTTTGAGCATTTGTTTGACAGCGCTTCACTTTTGCACAGGTTTGTTTAAAGTGGACGTAATTTTCATGACTATTAATACATTACGGTAAAAGTAGCAATGTAATCCTTGCTCCTGACCTCAGGTGGTTGTCCGACATTGGAAGCGGCTTATAGAATTATCAATTAACCCGTAAAAGCCGCTTCGCATGTTTTAGTTCGTTATACTCAGAGTACAAGAGTTCATTTTTAACCGACTCCAAAAAAAAGAGAAGGTTCTCAATTCGACTGTGTATTTTCTTGTATGTAAGTATGTTACCTCAGTAGTGGTGTCATTTAAATTTGAATAAAATATTTCACCCCTAGGGGTGGCAAACTAGGGGATTAATGACTTTTGAAGTCAGTTTTTTAGTACTCTGAACTGAAATTATTAAATTATAAGGTCTATATAAGGTAAACTCTTCCCTAACTCTATTATGAAAAAAAAAACTGTAGGAGCCTCCAGTCACACTAGTATAGTAGTACAAACTGACTGAGGGCACTAGTTTAGTACTGAACACGGTGCTCATACGTGATGTCAAGTCGAGCTTCAGCCTTACCAGTAGTAGGTACTAGAGATGTGCAGTGGGTTAAAACTCAATCAACCCGCCCGGGTTTTAGCCGGATTTTCAACCAAAGCGCAGTTTTAATCCATTCCTGTTCATAATCGTTGGCGGAAACTGCGAAATACGGAATTCGGAAGAATTCCACACTTTTTACAAATTTCGATGTAAAAAAAATCTTTTTTTCAAGTACGATACTATCTAACGATTTTTTGTATCGATTTATATCAATGCGATTGTCAAGCGAATCGATCCAGTAGAATCGTCTAGATCAGAAAGCAGTAAACTTTTCGTAAAAGTGTAATTAAATTTTTATTGAATTGATATTCAATTATTTTTATTTGAAATTACTCCACTAGTTTGTTATAATTATTAATACAAAGATCGAACACTCAGAAAAATTTTCTTCGATCCGGCCGGATTCGAATCGACATCTGCTAGCATACCGTGCCAGACGCTATACCAACTAAGCCACGGAACGAACCAGCGGACCTCACGAATTTTTGTATGTGCTTGCGTCGTATTTTTGTATTTGGTTTTTCAACGATTTTTTAGCCGAAATGAAAATGAAAATCTATGATATTTCGTCACCCAGTTAGATATCTTTACAGCTATCAGCCCCGGCTAGAGATGTCGCTATTCATGGTATTTAAATTTTAATTGAATTGATATTCAATGGCGCTATGGCTAAAAAGTCGTTGAAAAACCAAATACAAAGATACGACGCAAGCACATAGAAAAATTCGTGAGGTCCGCTGGTTCGTTCAGTGGCTTAGTTGGTATAGTTTCTGGCACGGTATCCTAGAAGACGTCAGTTCGAATCCGGCCGGATCGAAGGATTTTTTCTGAGTGTTCGATCTTTGTATTAATAATCATATAATTAAATTTGAACAAAACTCGATTTACAACAAATATTTAGTTGTAAATAGTTTTTGCTCTCAATTTCGAGCGTTAATGAGTTTTAACCCGATTTAAACCCGGCGCTAACAAAACACCAGGTTAAAACCCAGGTGCTTGCTGATCTCTGGTAGGTACACATCTACTTCCTGCCGCAGAAATAAACTCTATGATATACCTCCCTTTAGGCCTCCCGTTTACCTAACTAGTGCAGCTTGTTCAATTATGAAACTTGTAGTATGTAAAATACTGATTTTTCTCGTTGTTACTAAAACACCAACTTTCTTAAATATTAGGTTCGCAATCCAAGATGGTATAGTCACGTACCAATGCCGGTTTCTACGTTCCAACACGTTCAACAAGAACCGCGCCGCCAACCGCATTGTCGTCACTGAGTTCGGCACTAAAGCTGTACCTGATCCTTGCCATACGATTTTTGATAGGTTGGTAATTTATTGTTATGCTAGTGTCATTAGTAAGTATACAACTGGAATACGATTGAAATAGAAAAACATTTAAACGTTCCCTTCTCGCGGCGGAACTTGATCTTTATTTGGAAATAGAATCTCGTTAGACCGCATTCGCTCTTGATAGAAAGTAAACATGACGTCAAGAATGGTATACATTCTTATAAATTCGACTGTTATATCGAAATAGACCTCATAGCTACAAAAGAATTGTTGCAGTGCCTACATCATTCCCTTTGGTGCGAATTGAAGTAATTACTAGTTAACCAATGTAATATGCTACGTTGTGATGTATGTTCACCGTTTTTAATAATATGATAACTACATTGCTCTTGAAACTGTCATTTTAAGAAACGGAAACTCTTTTACAAGTTACTCAATAAAGTGTCAACACATGAACAACACATAGGCATTCATATTCGCATGTACCTACATACAAGTTCAGTGATATAGCTGCAAAGGTACCTTGTTGAGTAACTTCATAAGTTTCTCGCAGATGCGCTGACGGCGAACTCTCAATACAAAGATCTGTAACAAATACAAAGACATTCGTAAATCTTCTGCCTCTGGAATTCACGAAATGAGAGCACTGTGCCCTGTAACGGAGTCTATAGAGACTTCCGGGATAGTTTCTTATACTGTAGATACTTTATCAATGCCACTATTGGGCACAGATAATTTTACTTATTTACTTTAAGCTGATTGTTTTAACATCCAGGTTAGCTGCAGTTTTCAATCCAGGGGAGGCTATGTCAGACAACGCTATGATATCAATTTATCCGTTTGGAGACGAGATCTACGCCTTTACAGAAACACCAGTGATACATAGGTAATATAAATTATTTAGTATGTACATATTACGAGTAGATGCAGCTATTTTTTTATTAGTATACGGGATCAACGAACCGTTACACATTACAAATAGTACATAGCTGACAAATAGAAACTAAAACGTGTAACCAACATCGTTAAAATCGTTAAAGTTTTCGGATTTCAGTAAATTCTACTGCATTATGTGTGAGTAGCGACACCATTGAATTAGTTCAATGGTGTCACTACTCACACATAATGCCAATACTAAATCAGGAGTAGATATAGTAATGTAATTATGGAGGTGGTAATGATACAGGGCCCCTCTAATAGAACACACAATCGGTGAGAGCAATCATAATCAAATT